AATGTCTATTTCCAGCAACAAAGTCAAATCAATGTGGCATATGGTACATACTATTCAAAGAAAAGAATACGTGGTAAATGAAATAAAAATTCAACAAGATGGTATTGAAGTATCAAACATAGACATGGCCAACAACTTCAATAGTGAGTTCTCAAATTTCATACAGCCGCCAAATGTAGACTTCGATTACATGAATAGCAATATCTCAATATGCGAAAAATCAATGTTTTTGCGTCCACTAACGGAACCCGAAATTATAGAATTGATACCCTACTACCTCAATTTTTGTGGAAACCATTTTTACGGTACCAAGAATTCATAAAACTTTTGATGCCAAAAGCCCTCACCTTTCATCAGGCGATCAATTGAAAAAATAACAAGAAACACGAGCGTTCTTAATTTTGTGGAATACTTTTCCATTCAGTTTCTATCGTCTAGTTTCACGAAAAGCACAAATCAGATATTGATTTCATGCTTTATATAGGTCTCTTTTGCTATTGAACACTCGATCAGCTACCAGAAAAATAAGTCACTGTTGATGTTTGCAAAACAATTATAAAAATGGCACATGGAAGGCTTTTTTGGGGTAGAGATTTTGTAGGTTTGTACGTCATTCACTACGAGCATTCACCATTGCAGAGTATGGGAAAAAAAATAACTTGAGAAAAATTCATTGAACGATACAAGTGTATTTTCATTTTCCTGGATTTTCCTGGATGTATCAGAAAGGCACGAGAAAGTACTTTTCTCGCAATCAACCAAATTTCGGAGATAGTACACCACTTCTGACAAGATCACTCATAATACAGACTGTTGAGTATGCATCTAGATACTTTATTATATTTGCAACCATCAAATCAAATGTGCAAGGAGTTCTTTCAATATTGCTGATATAGGTTATATTATGTTTTCAGTAAACAACAAAGGTAACTTCAGCAATTTTCAATATAATCGATAAATAGTGACATTTAATAAAAGTTTGCAAAGTTGTAATGTTGTGAACCTGTATTGTAAAAAAATTCATGCAAAAGTATCCGATTATTCTTCAAAATTTCTTAGAATTTCCTAAAAATCTGTTCTAGCCCTGGAAAACTGGAAAACTCAATACTTGTGAAAGTCTCATCAATTAGTGAGAAAGATTTGTCATCGTGATATTAAAGGTCCCAAGTCGAATTGAAAGCCACAAATCACCTATTCTTCAATATACTTCATGCACACCTTAAATTGATTAGAGACAACAGTGAACAAACAGTTTTCTCAAAAAAAATCGTTACTTTCATGGTTTCAGTCAACATAAGCAGATTTGAGTAACCTTCATACTATCCCTTTGATGACTGTATTCAAATGAAGGCAATATCATGACAATGAAAGCAACTAATCAAGACCCTACCTTATTTATTTATTTCTAACACCCTTGTATTAGCTTCACTTATATGTTTGTTTATTTGTAACTTTGTACTCTCATCAAGAATCAGTGACAATACAATAATTTCATAAGTTTATTTCATTATCCTGATCAGAATCGCCAGAATTAAATAATTTCCTCACACGGACTCTGTGTAAGAGCAAAAGAGACAACCACACTGTCTGCGCATNGTTTCGAAGATACAGGGTGTTGAAATTGAATTTTCGTTTTCTGAAAATAACTTTTGTAAAAAATAAGTTATGGGTTATAATTTGGTATGCGGGGTTTTTATGACGTGGTAAATCATGATTTCGTATTAATTTTCATGTAACATCTAGAGGGCGCTGCGTACGCTGTCATTATTTATTTCAAATTATTGTTGTGAAAATTAGTTTTTTTTTGAAAAGTACCAAAAGTTTACTGTCAAAAAAAATTGGAAAATTTGAAAAAAAATAATGACAGCTTGCGCAGCGTCCTCTAGATGTTACATGAGAATTAATACGAAATCATGATTTCCCTCGTAAAAAAAACTTGGGTACCAAATTTCGTGCAAAAAACTAATTTTTTGCAAAAGTTATTTTTAAAAATCCAACAAAAAAAATCAATTTCAACACCCGGTATCTCCGAAGTGAAGCATTTCCGGTCACAAGTTTATGTAGACTTTTTTCTTAAAATTGTTTCCGGAATACGTCACTTGAATATTTTTAACATACTTATGTTACACCCTGTATATCATCTACCTAATGTGCCATATAATAAATATGTCATAAAAAAATGTATATGAAAGTCAACGAAAACATATTTACCTGTCATTCTCAATTCTTGTTAGAATGAAACAATCATTTTTGAACAAGTTCACATAAAAATGCATTTTTAACTATATAATTCTCTCCACATTTCAAATTGAAAATCATTTTTGGTGGGTAAGTGTTCAGGTGGACATTCCATGCAGTGGTCATTTTTGCATACTCTCCAACAATGAATGCTCGACCGGTGCCTTTCAAGGGAATATATGGAGATAGTTATTTCCCTTAACTTCCAAATGGGTGTGCCAAAAATATAAGATAATAAAGTGTATAGGAGCAGTGCATGTTATAGATTTTATAGATTGTTATATAATTTTATGAAAGAATATAAATGGCTCTCACACACTTAGTTTTTATGTGTTTGTATATCTAAAATTCACACAACAATTTCAAATCTGTCTGGAATAACAAAATTTCACCATTATGTATTGTTACAAGGACTGTCAGTTTAATGTACATATATACCTTTTTATTGTAACAATGTCGGATTTAATAAAAAACTACAAATGTTGTGTTAAAACATATTTTTATTTACTCATCCCTCTTGAAAAAGCAATCAGTCAGCTGGTTTTTCAAGTGAAATCGCTTATTCATAGGCAGTTTGCCCAAGCACTGTGGATACGAAAAAAATATCAAGTACCTTTTTTGATGATACTTAATATTCATAAAACATTGTCTGATTTCCAACAGGGTAAGTAATTAATAAAAAGTTAACCAACAACGTGCTGAAAGCTTGGGCAACAATAACATTTCAAAAACCCAACACAAATTCAATTGGTTATAAGTGGAACCTGGATTTTTTTGGAAAGAAAGGTTTAAGCTTGCTACTTCTTCATCTTTATAAAAAAATCTGTTTAATTTTCAAGAAACAATAATGTGAAAGAAGTGGAACAAGAAACACACTTGTTTTGAGAGCTTCTGTCTTCAAGATCAAAGGAGAATGTGGAAAAATCATCTGTATCTTGATGAGAAAGACCAGCATCGAATGAATATTTTCATTTCGTTAGTCTGGGATGAAAACCGGTATTTTAGGAATTTTGACACTTCTTTTTTTTGTCACATTGACAATGTGATTGAAGAAATCTACATTTGTAGCATATCGTGTCATATATAACAAAAATTATATTTGTCTGACCACTCCACTAGATTCAGCAGGTTTGATTTCTCACTCTCCTAGAATTTCTAGTAACATTAAACTGCATATTTTCCACACATTCTTTGCTCAAAACTTCATGATAATATAGGGATTTCGATGAAATTCTGGACAGNCAAATGCAAAATTATCATTTGTACAATTTTCCCAGGTTCCCAACATGGTTTTCATAGACTGTATTTTTTTTAGCAGTTTATATGAATAGTTGTTATGTTGAGCAGTGTTTAGACGCTTTGGTTGGGATTGTAGTAGGGAGAAATGTCATTAGTGTCAAATACGTCAGCATTGTAAAAACTGAAACTGGACACCAACATCAAAGGGATCGACGCTAAGTGGGACTACTGTATACTGTGTCACTGACGTGTATTGAATAAATGGCTGAATAGAGTATACTTGAATTTTTGGAACCCAGCTGTACGTAATTCGAAATTCGAGGGAAAGGTCATTCATCACATGGCATATTTGATAACTGAAACACCTGCGGAAAAATTCAGTATTAAAAGAAGGTGGAGTAACTGTTCCCCTGAACCTTATATTGACGTTATGAAAACAACGTTGTTGTGGATATTTATAAGCGAACAATTTTTCAACATTACTCCACTGATAAAAGGTAAAACTAGAATCTCAGGCGTAAAATGAATCCAAAACAAACACTTTTCCTAATCACCAGAAATGCCATACTCTCGACGCGAATTTCAACAGATTCTTTAAACCCCAATCTAATTTTCGATATCGGCGTCGCTGTGTTGCCAGGTTTCAACCTCCCAGATATCAACGAAAATAGATTCCAAAGATCAAAGATGTCGCTTTCGAATGTAATTTCTGTTGGGCATTCTGGGATTCGAATTTCTAAATGACATTAGAAACCAAGGTTGAGACATGTTAAGCAATGCCGTAATAACAAATATGGACTGGCCATTGAAAAGAGAACATTGACTCCAACAACAAACAAAAGATGGGATTCGTTGTGTATTCCGCAGGGGGAATATATGTAAAAGTCACGCTCAATCCATATTATCATGCCTAAGATATTGAGATGTTTTCTCCTCCTAAGAGCCGGAGCCAAGTTTCAACTTTCACGAAATAAAATTTCCGTTTTGGTGCTCAAAAGTAGTGATGTGCATAATCGAATTATCATTCACTCGCAATGCGCTGTAGAATTACCCAATAGACATCGGTAATACAGTAGTTGTTTAGGCCTCGCCAATTATTCACTGAAAATCAATCCAATGGAATGTGAATGTACCATAATAGATTAAACTGTGATTTTTACTGTAAACTAAGAACAATATTCCATTTTTATATATAGTGAATTTATTTTGAGTTTGTGAAATCATTGTTCATTTTGCTCATTAAGTTCTATGCTTCAATTTTGGAATGAAGTTCCATTCCATTAATTTTTGAGATAACTCAATGCCGACCTTGTCTAAGATGCCGACCGTTCCCAAATGTGTTCGGTTTACATCAATCTTAGCTTAAAGTAATTCGCTATCTCTGTTCGATCAAATAACATCAAGCAAATAATTACTTTTGGCGGGAATAGCCCAATCTGGAAAAAAGGATCAGTGCCAATAAAAACATAGTTGTAATTCTGATACAGGTAATGGAGTATAGCTATACTAGTATGTTTATGTTTGAGTTCCGCGATGCAAATAATGTGAAATTATAGTCAAATACACCTAAAAATCTGTGCATGAATAAGAAAGCAACGATCATATAATTATAAGGAAAATAATTTGAATTATCTTGATATCGATTCGATATTTCGAATTATTATGATAATCGAAGTATCGATTATTTTTAATTTGAAATACCCCATCTCCCCATCACAACTCAAAAGGACAATACAAAATATTAAAAAACAGGAAGATCTATCTCATCTTTGATATCTCAAACAAATGGCAGTGGCAAATAAAGAACATTCCGAGGTTGAGACAACTTTTAGGCATGTAAGTGGAATAAAATTATACAAATGGTTGTACTTGATATAAGTTTTACTTTCTATCAATTCAAAATGTACTGGTGGATTTCAAATTCATCAGGAAATGACAAAAAAAGAGCAGAAACTCATTTTATAATTTAATTTTTTTCTCTTGTTAAATTCGGAAAAGAAAATTACCCATTCAAAAAAGTTAAATGATATTAAGATCCCCAGGAAGCTGAAATTGTATGGCAGTATATAAAAACTACATCATGTTTCTACNCCCAGAAAGCTGAAATTTTATGGCAGGATATAAAAACTACATCATGTTTCTACCCAATTAAAACCATTGATGGGTATACCCAAATTACTTCAAACAGCCATGAATTAAAGAAAGCATTGGCAGTATCATCTGCTACAATCGATATATGAAACTTCTTGAAAGTGTTTCTTTCTACAGAGTACTATTCTGAATAAAAACTTATACATTTCTATTTCATTCCACTTCCAGTACAACTCTAACATGTACAATGAAACCATTTTATATTCCACTTTGATCAGAATTAGAATGATATGCTTGCTCCCAGTAAATAACCTATTGGAGTTCATACATATTGATATGTAAACAATTATCTATTAAAACTGGTGCCAAGTTCATCTACTGTAAGCTCCAGCTTGGTAAAATCGCCCTTAAGAGAGTGTTACAGATCTAGTTTGTGAAAGAACTATTATGTTGAACTAATTAATTCAAGTAAATAAAGTAGTGTCTTTAAAAGGATGTAAGTGTTCTGGTTGTTACAAAAATAATTTTCAGGAATAAAGTTTTACTATTCAGCCAAAGGAACAATTAATTTAATGTGTTGTAAGAAGGGGAAAAATTACTACAATAAAAACTCTTCACAAAGATGTGTAAAATATGCATAGGAGTTTCTTTTGAAACAACCAGTTTCACGTGAATTACACCAAAGCAAAAATTTCTTTCGAAACAACTACTTGTATATGAACAAAGAACTACAGGAAAATAAATTAATGGGATTGAAACAGATATCATTTATACGAACACAACACAACGTAATATATGAGAGAATATCAATAAAAATTTCATATGGAACTCTATCAACCTTGCGACACACTGGGAACCTTTTGTGTAGTAATGAATATTACTGGAGTTTCATCCCAATACCAAACCGTTATTTTTAACACCTCGACACATATTTCAATCACCAAGTGATCATCTTCAAGAAGAAAATTAAACTTCCTCTTGAAGATGAACACTTGGTGATGAAACACGTGTTGAGGTGTTAAAAATAACGGTTTGGTGTTGAGATAAAACTTCAGTAATATTCACTATAAACCTTGATAGTCTTCTTAGAAGTTTCAGGACAAGACACTAGTTAAAACTGAAAGGGGTATATTTTTAGGAGAGATTAATTTTTGGGAAAGAAAGGTTTTGGCTTTCTGCTTCTCCACCTTTATAAAAAAAATGTGGGAATCTTCCAAAGAATGGAACTAAGCAATTAATTTCAAAAAATCAACTCTATACATGTAGATCATGCAAAGAGGTAACTTTCAGACACAAACTAGAAGAAAAGCCCTCTCCAAACAGATACTTTCATATAAACATTCAATTACACGAAAGAAAAATACTTTTGAAAAAAATACTTTTATATGAACACTGAATTATACAAAAAACACTTTTCTCTATTCAGTTTGTATATCATTCACAGGATTGCTACACAATATAGTAAATGAAAGAGGTAAAATTTAATTTATATGGAACATATAGTCATCCTCACTGGTGGACATCTGATGTTTTGCCTTATCGGCTCTTCGGCACCAAATCTGAATAACACTGTAAGAAAATTATTATTATATTGTTGTGTTATCCAGATTTTGTACTAAATAGCCGATAAGGTGTTTTGCGGCGAAACATAAGATGTCCACCAGTGAGAATGACATTGTTCCATGTAAGTGAAATTTTACCTCTTTCTTTTGCTATATTGTGTAGCAATCCTGTGAATGATATCTGACTCAACTCCATAACGAATGTTTGGAATACAATCTGAATAGAGAAAAGTGTTTTTTGTATAATTCAGTGTTCATATAAAAGAGTTTGTTTTGAAAGTATTTTTCTTTCCTGTAATTCAATGTTTATATAAAAGTAGCTGTTTCGATAGGGCCTTACTTCCAGTTTGGGTCTAAAATTTACTTCCTGCATGATCTACAGATCTTTGTATAGAATAACTTATCTGAAATTAATTGCTTCCTTCCTCTCTTTGGAAGGAAGATTCCCACATATTTTTGTATGAAGATGTAGAAGTAGAAAGCCAAAACATCTCTTTCCCAAAAGACTCTTTCTTGTCTCATCACCTCGTCAGTTAGTTAATGTAATCTGAACATAGGAATTCCATTTAAATCAAAAACATAAGTATGGAACCAGATTTAGGAATGATTTTTCATATCCGATACATAAGAAATCTCTGTATGAAAGAAGTACTGTTTACAGTACCATTTAATTTTTTAACTCTCTCCCACAGGATGTAAGAGACATTGGGACGGCCAGCAGTTTTCAGAAGTATGTGAAAGAATTTTTATGCAGTCTAGAGCCTTATACTATAGATGAATATTTTAACAGTCTATTTTAAATTTTATTTTATTAACGCTACACTTATATTACTGTGTAGTGTTTTATTCAAATTCTGTTTTTTTATCATCCTTTGTAATTTTGTTTACTTACTTATTTCTCATACAAAGTATTTCTTTTACCTTTTATACAAGATTTACAATACTCTGTAGAAATAAAAGGATATCTATCTATCAAAAAGCTTTTAGAGTCTCTTACACTCTACAACTATTTGATGATAAAAACGACATATTCAAATAATACTTTATTGCGAGATTTTCACTTGACACTTATCATATGTTACAATGAATTTTCATAAAGTATTGGTCACATCTGACAGAGACGAGTCTATGCAAAATTGATAAATTTAAATTTCATTATTTCATTTCATTACACAACTTACCTGTTTCACACCAATAAATACTTTGCAGCCATTTCCATTCACTGTTCACAGTGCCAACCTTTTCATTAAAAAAAAAATATTTTGTTTTCTAAAGAACATCATCATTGATATTAATATTTCCCAGCCCCAATATTTTAATGTTTCACTTCAAACACATTATCGTAAATTTTTCAGGACGTGATAAAGGAGGTCTTGAAATCCAAATTTGTCAACCCAAAAAATAAGATTTCTGACGAAGCTGTGGAACTCGTTTCAGAAATAGCTAAAATGTTGGTAATTGAAACAGCTGCTAGGAGTGCTAAACAAGCAAAAGCAGAAAATCGATCTGCTGTTACTCTAGAACATGTTGAGACGATCCTGCCACAATTGGTAAATAATAAAAATACCTACTTCAGAAAATAACAAACTACTTTTTGGGTTACTTTTTCATGACTTTCTGTTTCAGTGCTGTATCATGTGATACATGACTGATTTTTTTATATTTTTCAGATGCTGGACTTTCCATGAATAAAGAACAGAAATTGGATAATATTTCAAAAGACTCAAACTACTTGTAAATATTTCATCTCAATTGAAGTGAAACCATGAGTTCAAGGAAATTAACTTTACCATATACAGATTGAATATGATTTACAGCAGTCATCTTCAGTAAATACCAAATAAAATATTTGACCTTATAGTTAAACATGCTTAAGAAAACATTTTAATTATTATATAAAGATGAACACAATGTAATATAAAACTAAACATTCGTTTTGGTTATTACATTAATATAGTTCATAAAATGTTCATAACAATCCTCCAGTGGAATCCTCAAAACATGTCCATATCAACTGTACACCCTATATCAAGAAAATCATCGTCATAAGTATTCAATTTTCCCCTGGAATTTTCTAGAGTATTGCTGCCAGCATTTATAATAGGTGAAGGTTGTTCATCCATATCATCTCCACTATTCTCATGACCATCGGTTTCTGGAGTTGGTGGTGGATTAACAAAGTCCGACTCATCAGTCTCTTTCACTTTCCTTGATGGATTTTGAGATGCCAAAAGCTCGGCTCTTGTAAGTAAATCAGGAAGTATCTTAGTCCTTGACGCTGCTGTAAAAATATAAAGATATTCAGTAGTTATAGAGATTTAAATCAGTTGTCATTCACTATATATTTTATGAGTAAGAGAGCATTCTGTATAAATAAAAGTATTAAATAATTTTTAAAGAACAAGTTGAATTTCATATGAAAAAAATGAAAAAACTTAAATTTCAAATTTATCATTTGGTGAAATGATGAAATATTTCATGGAAAATTTCGGTTCCTCATTGATTCTGAATTTTTTGATTGTACAGAAAATTCTCCTGTTTTATGTTGCTTTCATAGATGGTATGAAACTAACATCGTATTGAATAATAGGTCTGGATTTTTGTAATGATTCAATTCTTTTGTTAAAATGCACAAAAACTATAATGGAGAAATTGTCTGTTAATTCTGATTGCAAACTTCTGAAGTGTTAAAACTACCGACCATGAAAATGAACCCCAATTAAGTATATCATCGCAATTATGCATCAATGTTGGCATAATAGAGTTTTAAAAAAATTCTGAGATGCTGATTGGATAAAAAATTCAAAGCATAGCAACTCATCAGCATTTCTCTAGTTTTACTAGAATTCAGCAATATATCTATCTACCTTGAAAAATTACTAAATCATTTGCAACTCTTCTCATTTATTTATATTTTTTTGGTTATTTTTCATGTCAATAGAGGTAGAAATTCACTTCAAAACAAGATCTTCAATACCAAAAATCCCATATAAATGTGGACTCTATTGGCCACATAGTGTTTTATGTACATACACACCACCATCAGGCACATACAAAAATGCTAATTTTTATTCAAAACCGTAGTACTTTATTTGTATTCACCTCAAAACATTTGAAGGATGCATGCTATGAAAATAAAACTCATTTCATTTTCTCTTACCAATTTCATGCTTCAATTTCTGAGTCTTTTCCTTCTGCTTTTCCTTGATCATTTTTTTATTTCTCTGTCGTTCCTCTCCAAATATTTCTGTTTTCTGATCTGGTGTGATATGATAATCGTGTCTTACCAAAAATAGATACACTCCACCTGGTGTCCTTCTTCTTGTTTGATTCTTGTAAAGAAAGGTTTTGGTAAGTGTATCAGTCTTATGTTTACACTATTGACAATTATTCCAGTAATCAATAACCCAGTGAAACAAAAATAATAATGAACATCATCAAGCATTTTTAATGAAAAACACTCCCCACTTATTAATGTAATTTTGAAAATATATCTGCTTCAACACAAATATATAAATCTATATGAGTATACCACCTCTAACTTGAAAATTAACAGATAAGAACTCAAAAAAATTTACCATTATAAGCATACCACCTTCTTCTTCTATTCTCCTTGTCTCCTCAAATATATCTATAGCTCTCTGCTTTCCAAGAGAAACTATAACTTTTTCTGAAAATCAATATATAATATTAGAATAAACTAATGAAACAAGTACATGAAATCAAAAATCGAATATTTTCTATTATAATAGATTCTAAAAGATAGGAATTTTGGGTACAAATATATTGTAAGAACAATTCTTAATTGAATATTCAGCTTGAAAACCAGTATTCCCTCTACAAACAAAGACTTTCTGATGCCTTCAACAGGCTTGTGCAAGCAATGAATTAACGAGGTCTTACCACCTTTTAATGTGCGACTCCTAGCATGGGTCAGACAATACGAGTTTCATGAGTAACGCTCACTAACCAATTGGCTACCATCTGCCCAGTAGGTATTGCCGAAATTTTACTAAATTATATACAAATATATGTAATAAAAAAATATGTACCCTCACATGAGGACAATTCAGAGTAGGAAAGTTGTGGACATGGGATTACTAGTAACAGAGTTGTATATTTTGAATTTGATTCATTGGGTAGAAGAAAGATATGTTAAGGATATGCCTAATGAACCAATAGAAATGCAGTAACCAGTATAGTTAATCATTAAAGTATAATTAAAGATTCAGTGCGGTTGCAAATAGATCCCCCCCCAATTTAAACTTTTGAACAGAACAGGATATCAAGATCGGACAAAATTTACGTAAAAAGGATTTATTTTTACTACTTTTTTTATGAAAAAAAACATCGCTACCAACTTGTTTTTTTCAAACAGAAAGGAGTGACCTGTGATACCTAATTCAATAGATAATTTAATTATCGATCCAACATTGTTTTACTTTCAGAAACCTTTTCAGCCATCCCAAAGTAATGACCATTTAAATGGTATAAATGGATGACTAAAAAACTGATAATCGAAAAGTAGCCTAATACTTGTTTTGAAGTGGTAAAGCAAAAGATAAAAATACATAAAATATAAGTAAGATATAAAAAAGCTGACAAAGTCTAAACAATTTCCAAATCGTAAAAAAACACATATAGATTTTGCACATTTGCTTGCACACCTAGACGTCCAATATACATATTCAGGCACACACATTTAGGATATACATATAATATACACATAATAGGATATAGACATAGTACAGTAACTTGTGCAAACCAGATTTTATTTTAGAACATGATTTTTAAAGTATCTGCAAACAAACGACAAATTTATTAATTTCAAGAGAACACGCATTCATAACTCACTCCAGTTCATTCCAAACAATAAGGTCTGTTATTCTGTTCAGCGGAAGATTAATCTTCCTCATGAAGATGATCACTTGGTAATCGAAACTCGTGTCGAGGTGTTAAAATAATTGTTTGGTGTTGGAAAAACTCCAGTAATATTAATGAAATTGGTGTTTTAAAATAATTGAACCGAACTTCATCTCAAAACAGTTTTCGTCAATTAATATTGAATTATTTACTTAATATTTCTGTATAATTTCTCCCTGCGGTTGTATATGGATAGTTGCAGTTATGAATACATTTTATTGTTATCATTATGTATTAGTATTGAACTAAAATTATATATTTTATCTATATGTTATATCCATGTAGTGAGGCTGATCAGTCTCTTTGGAGAAGTAAATAAATCTCATTGAATTTGTCTCAAATTACGTCATTCATGTGCCGGTCAATCAAATAATGGGTTATATTTTAGAATAAGTTTGATTTGAAAAAGAGTTTCTCAGAGTAACATCTTGAATTATGTCATGACTTATACATATGTGATCTGGTTGTGGTTTCTCAGTTCGATTTGATATTCTCTACAGTGTTGAATTATCGAAGGAGAATTCACGGGATGTTAAAAATCAGAATCAGAAATTCAATCCTTCAGGTTTGTACTCAAAGCTTTGTATCATACTTAATTGAATATATTGAAGAAAGCAAATCAAAATGAATGAAGAATAGTTGAGAAGTAGTGTAGTGAATTTACAAAAATGGAATATGTAATTGGTGTCTATTTGTATTTGAGAAATGTACCATGGAGTATCACTACTGATGTGCTTTTAAACAAGTAAGAGATGAATCAATGAAATATATCGGGACAGAATACAAAACTTACTTATTAGGTCTTCTTTTTCTTCATATAATTTATTGGCTATATCTTTTGCTAATACTTCTGTATCACTGTTCACATCTGTCTTCAGGGCTAAAATAACCCTTTTACTTCCTTTCATTTTTTTGCTACCTGGGGATCTTTTTCTTTGTTTGAAATTAATATCATTCCTATCATCAAAAGTTCTTTTGTTATTTTTATTGTTGCAAAATGGACTTTTCTCTTCATTATGAAACTTGTATGCTAAGGTATAATCGTAAGATTCAACTTCTCGAGACCTATCTTTTTGGGTTACATCACAGTTATTGAGGGTCTCAGATAGTCCATCCTCTCTGAGTCTTGAGCTCCAAATATCGTATTTTTTTCGATTAGAATTCTGGAGTCTTGCTCTGGGTTTTATTTTAATTCTGGCTCTTTTATTTCTTTTGAAAGAGGAGTCTGAGTCACTAGAACTGGAGTTGGAGTTATCTTCACTCTCAGTTGTATTGTCGACTGGAAGTCTTGGCATAGGCTGAGAACGTGAATAGTTTGTTGGTCGTTCCAGAGGTGTATATTGATCTGAATCATTTGAAAGCTAAAATTTGAAGATTATACGTTTTGTTATTGGAATTTAGATTATAATAAACTGACCTCTCCATCTTCAAGTACAACTTCGTCCTGTTCCATTCTGTATAAGAAATAAATTCACAAACTTATTATTCGTTGGACTACATAACAATATAAATAAAAATATATCAAACTTTTGTTTGTGGCTTTTCCTTGTTCTTCTTCTTCTTCTTTTTTTAGGTAGTTGCTCCTTATTAGGGCAGAGTAGACCAGCTACCTCTTATTGCATAATTCTATAACAGCTTCGTAAATATTTTTCATATTTTGGAAATAAGATTGACATATAAAAACATTTGAGATCGGAAGTACAGGGTGTTAGTAAAGTAATAAAATGTGAAAATTTTTTATGAGAAGAGAAGGTACCATTATTATTTTACATTATAAATTGATGCCTGATGTTTATAATCTAAAATAAGGCATGAATTCAAATTTTCTGGCCATAATTTCGATTTTTACATTTAGAATAATCATATGGTGTATGCAATGATTTCACGAAAAAATCAAGAATTTTTTTAGCAAAAGTTTGCATCTAATTTATGTGTAATTGACCCTGAGTGGTCTATCGTGAATTTTTGTGAAATTCTGTAAATAATCGCAGAAATAAATATTTACATGAACCACTATCACCCCAAAAAGTTTAAAATCACCTACAGTATTATATTATTCATTATGGTCTGAAGAAAACTCGTCGGCTGATGAACAACTATCGCGCTCGCTATTTTTAAGGTAATAATCAATGGTTCAATTGCAATGTTCATTCTAGTGTCGAGATCCCACTTTTTGTCTTTTTTCATTATATGTCTAATGTATTTTTTTCATGACTTGGGTGTGACACTTTCTATCGCAGTAGTTACTAGGCCTTCGACCTCATCCATTTTAAATGTCAAATTTTCCCACGCCACTTGGTTTTTTATTCGAGACCATATTAGCTGGATCGAGTTTACCTCACAATGGTAAGGAGGGAGAAAGAATACAATTATGTTCCTCTCACGAGCCATTTCGTCAACAAATTATTACATTCATCTATTGTTGGTGAAGTATAGCTGGAGCGCGTTATTCGGAAAATACTAGAGAGGACCAGTCGGAAGAATTTAACAGCCTAACAGATGAACAGTTTGGTCCAGGCAAAAATATTCGACGGAACTGCAAGTCCTAAGAGTGGTCGACTATGTAACATGTTCCAAACTGTGCAAAATATCACATAGGAATGATATTTTTATCGTCTCCAAGGCGATGATTTGTTTTCCCTCGTTATGTGATTATCCAAACCATCATGGTCTGGATACCTGCGTGAGTAATGGAGGTCCTCACTTCACATTTGGTAAAAACTTTTCGCATATACCTTACTTTTAGTGGTGAACAATCAGAACACAAAAAAAGCAATAGCACATGACATCCACGTACCTTCTTTGTGGGCGGATGTTATTGGCACATCCGTACACTACTTTGTTTATTGAGCTAACAAAAATATGTGAAAAAGAAAAAACTAGGCGTGACAGCATTGTCTCCACCAAAACTGCGGCGCCCCCCCCACGAAGCTCCTGTCAAACAGTTGACAGGACAAGATTAAGATTGGCCATTTGCGCACGAGAGAGAAGCACTGCTTGTACAAGTGAGAGAAATAAGTATTTATTTGAGTTGGAGTCGTTGGAGAGGTTAATCAGCCAAAAGGGTAGGGGAGCTGGTCTCCAAACCTGAACGAAATGAAGATGGATTTCGGCTGGAGAGGTTATTTTCACATTTCACGTCAAACAGGCGAAAAAGAGCAAGTAGGTGTGCTTACTAACATTACCTCTGTTGAATATTTTTCCTTCCATCCTTTTTATATAGTATCTTAAGTATTTATTTACTTTTTCGACCTTTGTGCTTTATTTCCTATTTTCTGAAAAACAGTATTTCGAATTGGTATATTTTATTTTTCTCAGCCATGGAATCAACAACAATTGAATTTGCCGTTGACATGACTTGCGACTCTTGCGTTGAATTAGTTAAAAACAATTTGGCTGGTGTTTCTGGAATTGAAAATGTTCAAATAAATTTGGAAAAGAAGCAAGTTGTAATTCAAAGTAAGTTGTCGACGTTACAGTTATTGAAAATTCTGGAAAGCACTGGAAAGAAGGTTGCTGTGAAAGGATATGCTGGTAGTCAAGCAGCAGTGTCCATTTTGGAAGCAGGGAATTCAAATATTAATGGAGTAATTCGTTTCATACAAGCAACTCCTAATACTTGTATAATCGATGGCACTGTTGATGGTTTGAATGCTGGTTTATATCACATTTTTATTCACGAATGTGGAGATATATCCGCAGGTAAATGCAGTTGAAAACTGTAATGAAAATTGTGTTGAATCAATAATGCAGAAACCTGAAAAAATAACTTTATACATGAAAGAGTATTGATATTAAATTTTACTTGCATGGACAAACTCTCCTAGTGTACTTCAAAGTTTTGGGCAGAAACACTTGTTACTGGTAAAACTGGAACCTCTGGCGTAGAATAAATCCAAAACCTAACACTTTTTCCAATTGCCAGAAAGGCAATACTCCTCTTCGCGCGTTTGATCAACCAAGTTGGCATCTTCAGGAGACAAAGAAAATTGGTGAAGCCAACTTGTTGGAAAAACTGCTTGTTTTTGGAAAGACAGTTGTCTTCATTGGTGGGACGGTAGCCGGTTGGGTTGGCGTGATTGGTTTGTTTGTATCACTCATTCAATCTACTGCTATGCGTACTTATGGTTTGAATCCAGAGGCCAGATTATTGATTTTCAATGCCTATAATTTATGCTAGGAATCGCAAGTTGAAAGGTAACACCTCTTTAATCTTTAGCTCACACAAGCCATCTTGCCATCAGCACTTTTTTTAATTATTTTGAAAAACAATTCACTCAATCCTTGCAAAAACTGTACGATTTCATGTCACCAGAAGAGAAAAATCTGCTTTATCACAATGACAGTTGAAAACATTCATACACCTAGTTAATTTGTCCTAAGTTACCATTTGCTAATAATTATTGACTTGAAATATTGGACAGTGCTTACCTAAAATACTGAAATTAGTGATTACTTTCAGAACACATCAATACAAATTATTACAGTAGTGAGAAACCGCTAATTATTTGTTGGTGATGTAGTTGTCACCTGCATTTTTTGTGAAATCATTTTCTCAATATGACCACTTCTTCAGAAAGATGACTGCAAAACGATGGTTTTGAATACTTTCAGACCATACCCCTGATCATATCAATAGGAATATCTTTTATTAAAATATGAATTTTTTTTAGTAGACACTAGATATTGAGAAATTATTGGTAAATTATTATAGCAGTGAGTAACCGCCCAATATTTGCTGGTGACTTGGTTGTCACCGACATTTTTTGTGAAATCATTTTTGCAATATCACCACTTCTTCAGGAAGATGACTGCAAAACAAAGGTTTTGAATACTTTCAGACCATACTCCTGATCATATCAAGAAGAATATCTTCTTATGAAAGATGAATATTTCTTTTTTAGTAGACACTAGTTATTTGGAAATTATTATTGTTTTCTACTTCTCCATTAATAATAGTAATTGTAGTTGAAATTTTGAAGAAAAGAGTAAAATACTTCCAGACCTTTTCCATTTTCTCTAGATGTATGGAGAATTAAATTATTGCTTAAAATTGCTTCGAAAAAAGTAAAGGATAAGAAATGGTTATTGTGGGTTATCTCTAAGTGATAGACATATACCATCGCGGACTTCTTTGTACTGTAGTACATTTTTTGATCTAGAGTTCAGAGCGTTTGCAATGTAAGTGCAAGAAATGTGTTTTTTACACATTTCACATTTATCAGTGTTTCTTTACTATATTATGCATGTTATATACATATAAATCTTCCACTTGAATCGCTCTATCTATTTAAAAACCCACATGAAAATTCGTGGCGTAGTTTTAAAGATCTAAGCAGCGGGACATACAGCGGGAAGCAACTTTGTAGTGATTTCAAAGATTTAAAGATGATCTAGGTACCTAGTTTGCTTTTAACATTTTCAGGTTGTGATAATGTTGGCAATGTTTTCAACCCTGAGGGTACCCCAATTGGACGGACCTATGGAGATTTAGGAGAGATACAAAGTGATAGTTCTATGCGAGCAGAATTTCGTTTGGAAAATGGCATTGTTAAAGTTTCAGAAATAATAGGTAGAGCATTTGTTATTTCAAATAAATCAGAAGATAAAAGAAATTGGAAAAAACTAGTTTGTGGGGTAATAGCTAGGTCTGCAGGTCTCTTCCAAAATCCAAAATCAATATGTGCATGTGATGGAACTACCATTTGGGATGAGGTAGTCAAGGCTAAGTCTACATTGTAAATTATAGTGATTATAGACTCAGGAAACATTCCAATTTTGACAACACTGATGAGCAAAAATGTATCAACTCACAACAAATCATCGACATTTCAATACCAGTCCTATTTCAATAGTACATTTTGCAAACTCTTGGAGTGAAATTAAAATCCATCTAAGAATGATATAAACTTGAAGTAACGAGCATTTGGGTTGACACTGTATTGCTGATCAGTATCAGAGTGTATCTTGTGAAGATAACTTCAATTGAATATCAATGATATACTTCAGGGGTGATTAAAATAATTGGGTTGTATTTTTGGCAGTAGATTATTCATTCTGTTGAGGTTATGGTCTAGATGTGAGAAATATAGTAAAAATGGTTTCTATGAGAATGTTAACATGATTTTTATTTCCTTTTCAATTTTTCAACTATTAAACTGTCACCAAATAATTCAATAGAACATATTGTCGTGAAAACCTTGTAACCCCCTGCAGGCAACTTTTCAGAAGACAAAAAAATATTTTTAACAGTGTAATATTAATCATTTTTAACTTTTTTTGAGGTTGTTAAATTACCGTATTTTTCAACTAGTTTGTGTGATCCTAAAAATTGAGCATTGTAATATTCCGGAAATCGGACTTACGAAGTTTTCAGTATGTTGATTCCTCACGTTACAAGGTTTTCATCTGAAGACTGACAATAGTATAACTACTCTATTCAACCAAGTCAACATTCTTCTGATACCTTCTAGGAATTATCTAAGTCAGGAGACTATGGTATGTAATAAAAAATCTCAAAAACGTAAGGTTTTTTTTGCTAGTATCAACAGGAAAATTGTTATTGAAATAGTGCAAATCAGTAGGGATGAAACATTCAATATGTTGCAGATCCTTGAATTTGGATTGTTTAATTTTCAGTCTTTCTTTGGCAGTTCTTCGAATTTGTTGCCAAGGACATTACATATTCTCTGCGGTAGCTTATTGTATTCACCGTCATGGAAACACTTACAACAAATTTCACCATTTGGATAATATTTGATCGTCTTTAGATCAGTAGCTGTAGAATCACCATGTTGAGATGATCTGCTGCCTTGATATATGAGGGTTATAAAACGTTCACAAAGTAGGCTGTCTTTATTTTGTTGTCCTTCAAATTTTGACACAACCAAATGGGGCGTAAATTTCTCAATTTTCCACCATTTTTTCTATATTAGCGTGCATAAAGTCACAATGTCCAATGATTGTATTTTTTCTAACTGCAGCAGATGGGAGTGACTGCGATATTGTAATTGGGAACACCACAGTGGTAACTTCATCTGCGTTCAAGCCACCTCTCGTTTCGTCCCACATGGAGCAATATCCATCGCTATTTTTAAAGGTTATAAATTGTGAAATTATGCACTAACAATTTCGTTTCTTAATACAAAGTTGAAGCTAGAAGTTGTGGAACGAAAAGAACAGCTTGTAACTCAATTGTAAACAAGCTAGTTTTATCATCCGTTTCGTTTTTGGCCTAACCTTGTTCTGTATAATGTGGTGATTATATTCAGTATCAGAAATAGTTTCTACTTCTTAGGAGCAACACACGTCGCATTGGTCTTTTTTTGGGGTAGAGTCCGTTTTTTTTTCGCTGAAAATATTCACAAAATCTTGCCTCGACACTGAGCTCAGAGCTTTTTTTACTTTTTGCTCCAGATACATTTTGCTGGTACTTTTACAACTGTAGTGCGATTTCAATTTCGGCAATGAGTCTAGAAAATTGTGTACTGAAATGATGTTCTCAATCACTCCAAGGCTCGTCTGACCGTTTTTGGAGTAGAAAATTACCAGTTTTTTTAATGACCTTTGCCAAGAAAATGTGTTAAAAAAACTTTTGCATACTCAAATTATCTTCCCCTCTAGTAGATTGAAAATCTGCCTCTTCTTGAATCTCCATCCATACAATTTTTTCATTTGTTGAATAACAATCATCTTATTGGCGTGAAGTTATCCACAGATTTCTGGCCACACATACTGACGTAGAGGAAAATAAAAATCTGTGGTTGGGATATGAAATTATTAGCACCCGTACTAATATCTGTGGCTGGAAATACCTATTCACTATAGGTTGAACGTGGAATTATTGAGACTATTTGGTGTTTAACTTTTTTATAGAATCTTGACTATACTGACGCGTCGATAATCGTTTTCTCATCAACAATACAGATTTAGGGAATAATAAAATTGTAAATNGTTCGTCATTTCGTGAATTAGGCCTACTTCAGGATCGCTCTGCTCCAGGACACCCTCGTGGGCTGCAGAAACATCTTCAAAATATTCTGGTAACAATATTCCACTGATATTAACGGTTTCTGCGATGTACTTTTATCGAAATCGGCATGATTCTCCGGAACATTGGGATTAGAGTCGAATGTGTGAACTATTTCACATTTTCTTGTATTGTTTTCTATCGGGTTCTTCATTTCGTGAATTAGGCCTACTTCAGGATCGCTCTGCTCCAGGACACCCTCGTGGGCTGCAGAAACATCTTCAAAATATTCTGGTAACAATATTCCACTGATATTAACGGTTTCTGCGATGTACTTTTATCGAAATCGGCATGATTCTCCGGAACATTGGGATTAGAGTCGAATGTGTGAACTATTTCACATTTTCTTGTATTGTTTTCTATCGGGTTCTTCATTTCGTGAATTAGGCCTACTTCAGGATCGCTCTGCTCCAGGACACCCTCATGGGCTACAGAAACATCTTCAAAATATTCTGGTAACAATATTCTACTGATATTAACGGTTTCTGTGATGTACTTTTCGAAATCAGCATGGTTCTTCCACACCATTGGGATTAGAGTCGAATGTGTGAACTATTTCACATCTACTTGTATTGTTTTCTATCGGGTTTTTCAAGCTAATATCCACAAGAGTAGTCTCTTTCAAAGAGCCAACAAAGATGGTTTCTGTGGTGCTAGGATACTCCAATTCAGAAAGCCTACAGCTCTTATAACCAGCACAAAATTTGTTGAGCCTTATTTCAGATTCGTCACAAGCGCCTATACAGAAAATATTAGAATATAAGGTTATATATTTGGTGCTAGATGAAAAATGAAATAATTCAGAATTTGCAACTTGAAGTTAGAAAGCCGGATAATTAATATTCCTGTCTATTTTCATATATTGAAAAGTTAAATGAATATCGAATAGGAACTAAGTAATCAACTCTTTTCTGATTGATCATACGAAAATGTGTAATGGAACATGAACTTTGATTACTCAATGTTAACATAGATAGTGCACTGATTTAACTTACCTGAATTCTTATACACCACAGTACTCCTTTGATTTCCCAATGAAGACAGTGCACTGATTTAACTTACCTGAATTCTCAAACACCACAGTACTCCTTTGATTTCCCAATGACCAACTGTACTATTCTCGCATCTTGGCAGTAGGTACCGCATCAACATTCATGATAAAATGTTTTCAACTCAGCCTAGGTAAATATGTGTGGATACTCAAAATTCATATAAATTATAATCTAATCGTGTTCAAGAATAGTGTACTGAATGATCTTCAATAATAACTGAACAATTCCCATGAAATAGTTGCAAAATAAGGAACATTTAATCTGCACGTCCATCATTCTACACTCGACGGCTCGAGTTGCGAGGATTTCACGGAATCGAAATGGTAATGGGCGATTTAAGAGTTGTTCTATTTATCCAATAGATGGCGAACCAATGAAATTTTGATGAAAAATAATTTCACGAGGTGTCCTTCATTTCAGTTTGATATGCGGGAGTGGGGTACTTTAATAATCGCAATTGTTTGGACGAACGCAGGCTGAACAAGACGCTGCTGTCAATCATCAGGCCCTAGAAATGATTTCACACTTCTTCAGCAGACATGCAATGAAACAGATGGCAGACTAGAAATCCTGCAATGAATACTATTTTATTTTTCAATAACTTCAAAAATACAAAGTTACGACCGATTTCAATCAATCAGACAATGGTATAAAACAAAAACCAAAGTATATTCTACTGTGTGTTTTAATTTCACAATTTTCCACCCAAAGTGGATGAATCTAATGAGAACGTTGCTATCTTACATCTTAATGAACAAATTCATACAGATTAATTTTGACGATCAAATTTTTTATTAATTTAAAATATTCATCTGCTGTGTAATAATGGTACTCGAACTTCTTTTCTGATCTTTATGTTACATTTTATTATTATTGGTGTAATTACGTTACTTTTAACTATACTTCATATATTCCAGATAGATGGCAGCAGTATTAGCAGTACCTTTGGCTCTGAAAAGTAACTATGCTGTAAATTCAATTTCACTTTATCACCAAATAAGATACTTTTGACTGAGCATTGTGATAACTTCAGTTATTTTGTTATTTAGACTGACATGATGTGCAATCGTTATTTTGATTATGTTTTCTACAAAAAAATTCGTTTTCAATATGTTTTTTGTATGCAACGCAACTGGATCAATTCGCCATATTCACTATTGTTAAAATACCTATCTCTTTTTCAGTACTTTCCTATTAATTTGATCGATTGAGGACAAAAGTTAGGCGAAGGGAGAGTTATTTAGGCGTGAAAGTATGTAGTGTATACTGGGTGACTACAAATCATTGTACACGGCTTCATTCAGATATGTATAATTGGGGAGATACATTTGAAATTCGGCACAAAGGTATGGTTCAGTTGAGTCGATATATCTGAAGAAAAAACAAAAACCTATTTTGGTTTTACCGAAAATGAATCCGAGTCAAAAATTTGAAATGAAACCCTATATATTTTTTCACATCATTTGATAGAATATAAAACTCTCTTTTCAACGATATAACACAAGTCACAATTTCTTTTCAGAACGGTGGCGTAAGAGCTATTTTCTCCAAATTCAATATGGCGGCACTATGATGTTATCTATAGAAATATTGTCAAATAACTTGATATAGTGAGAAACAAAACACAAAAAGCCAGTTTTCAATCGGTAAATTTTTCATCAATTCAGGTACTTCTTCATTAATTTTATTTTAAATGTTATGTATTCAGGAAGTATTGTCTTTCAAACTTTAACATTGAAGTGTAACTATTGTAATACAGGAAATTTCAACGATACTATACTGGAGTTTTTTCCCAACACCAAATCTTTATTTTTAACACCTCGACTCATCTTTTAATCTTCCTCTTTGAAGATGATCATTTGGTGATCGAAACACGTGTCGAGGTGGGAAAAACTCCAGTAATATTCACACCACCAAAGGTTCCAAACAGTGCATCATAAGATACTATGCTGTTCATTTTTCTGTATTAGTAAAAAAGTGTGTTTTTCATAAGATAAAGTAAGTAAGTGAGCTTTGAAATTTTCACTTTTTCACTGGC